CTTTGGGGTTTTCTAGATATAAAGTCATATTGTTAGCAAAGAGCGATAGTTTGACTGCACTCATTATTAAATTGGAACTAATCAATCAACACCCATGTGCACATATGGTAGTAAAATGCAACAGAAACCAAATAGGTAGGAGAGGGGAGGAGGGGACAGGTAAATTCACACCTAATGGGTACAATGCACACTTCCTTAGTGATGGGCATACTTATAACTTTGACTCAAACTGCACAAAAGCAAAACATGTAATCAAAACGTTTGTACCCATGTAATATTCTGAAATTTTTTAAAAAGTAGCAAATAGTTGAGCACAGCTGAATTGAAGAACAAGTGTAAGGACCTGGACAGAGATAAACTGGAAATATAAGTAGCAGTAAGGTCCTGAAGAACCTTGAATACCATGCTAAAATGTTTGCCCCATATCTTAAAGAAAATGCAGAACATTTTAAGGAAGAAAGTAATTGGGTCAGAATTATTGTAACTCCAAAGCACTGTGTGGATAAAGATTGGAGGAGAGGGATAAGACTGGAGGTGAGGAGGCCAATTTGAAAGCCAGGAGCAATGCTAGACTCAGGGTGGAGAGGAGCAGGAAGAGGAAAGATGGACCAGCTTCACTGAGCAATGGGATATGAGGAATGAGGAAGAAGAAATGATCTGGAATGTTCTCAGGGGCCAGCTGCGGTTACTGGCTGGGTGACTGTGCCATTCACAGAGAAATGAGACACTGTGGGATTGCAGATTTGCAGGGAAGGTGGAGGCTAGGACAAAGCAAATTTAATAGGCTTGGTCTCGAATTTTCAGTATTGGGAAAAGCTCAAGTAACACTCCAGAATTTGAAGCAGCACAATTTTAGTCAGTTTTACTGTATTTGTCAATATTTTTCTAATAATAAAACATGTAATACTCAAGAGAGAAAGTCTATACCAATTCCAATATTTATTTTTTAGGAGATTAGGGATGAGACAATTACATAAAGAGTAGTTTTTGTTTTTGTTTTATTTTCCAACAGGGACATGCTCTGTTTTTTGGGGTTTTTTTCTTTTTCTTTTTTTTCTTTTAATAGCTAAAGGCAAGTCTGAGCAGTGATTTATTCATAGTAGAATCAGTTTGAGAAAAATCCCAAGTTACAGATACTGGCAAATGATAGCATTTCTTCTTAAGATGTGAGAGAGGAAAAATGACCAAATGATAAATTTAACATAATACCAACTAATATGCCAAGGAGGAAATAACTGGAGAATTCCATTAGTATTTAAAAATAATGGCAAGAAATTGTGAGTTTAGAATTTAAGGGTAAATTTGAAGAATAATGAAAATATATCAAAGCCTCCAGTTAGAAATAGGAGAAAGGGCTGGGCGCAGTGGCTCATGTCTGTAATCCTAGCACTCTGGGAGGCTGAGGCGGGCGGCGGATTGTTTGAGCTCAGGAGTTCGAGATCAGCCTGAGCAAGAGCAAGACCCCGTTTCTACTAAAAATAGAAAGAAATTAATCAGACAACTAAAAATATATACAAAAAATTAGTCGGGCATGGTGGCGCATGCCTGTAGTCCCAGCTACTCGGGAGGCTGAGGCAGAAGGATAACTTGAGCCCAGGAGTTTGAGGTTGCTGTGAGCTAGGCTGACGCCATGGCACTCACTCTAGCCCAGGCAAAAGAGTCAGATTCTGTCTCAGAAAAAAAAAGAAATAGGAGAAAGTCTTTACTTTGCTGTCTTTGCAATCCACAAGTCCTAATTTACTATTTATAGTTTCCTAGTATGTAATTTCGCTATTTAGTTTTGCTTCCGGGATAGAAGGGAAATTTTCCTATGTCTTCTGTTCATGTGGCAGCCATCTTAGGTGGAGGCCATAGGAATATATTTAGAACAAGGGACATGCTGGTTTGCTTCTCTCCGCACTCTGCTTACCAAGAACATCCTCACAAGTTGGAGGGCATGCTCAGGATTGAAGGACAGGATGGTCAAAGAGCGATGGATGAGAGAAGCAGCTGAAGCAGCCAGAATGAAAGAAGATATATTGGCTGTTTTGAAATAATAACACAATCGTTATGAATGGCTCCACCAGGTCAGATTAGGAATTTGTAGGGGTCCAAGCCAGAAGCCACAAGAAACATCCAGTTACAGCAATGGGAGTGTTATCTAAGTGTTATCTAAAGAATGGGCTGCCTCAGGGAAGATATAATATCCTGCAGAAACCCCAAGAATGCCCAGTCACTTAGGGTATTTGTCCAAAGGTTATAAGCAATAGAGGGGACACAGGACAAGAAGATTCTTGGTGATTCTAAGAGCCCATATTTCCTCAACATGATTAAAACAGGGTTTAAAAATTCCTAATCTTTAGAGTCTGATGTGACTTTAAATCAATTAGTTTAAAAGGATTTTGTCAAAGATTATTAATTTATGCAAAAGAATAAGAAATAATAAGCACTTTTAAAAACCAAATCAGTCCGATATTTTAAAAATTAAAAACCAAAACATCATACATATATGTGTGAAATATGATTTGGGGCTGTTCTTGTTTTAACAATCACACATACACATTTCTGGGCTATTCTACAATGTCTTATTTTAGTGACATTTCACTTAAAGATTTTATAAGGGAAAAAAGATGTTGGACATTTCAACAGCAGTAATCTATCTGTGCATTGCTATTCACCAAAGACATTGAATTATAGATCTGTAGAGGAAAGGAGCATAAATAAATAAATACCTAACATTCCAAGTCAAATATTAGACTCTCTCTTAAGGTTAGCACGATTCAGACGTCGCCTTGGTGGCTCCAGGCAAAGGTTGCTCAACAGAATCACTTCTGGCTCTTTACGACATGCACGTGCCCTGGCCCCATCCTAGACCTGTTGTAGAGTCTGACAATTATTGAAGCTGAGCATCTCTTTAAATGTTTATCGGCCGTCTTCTTTGAATTGCCAATCTTTATCATTTTCCTATTTTTTTCATTCTTTTTGATTTATAAGATCTCTTGGTTTATTAGAGATATGAAACAATTCTGTTATATGTGTTGCAAATATTTTTCTCTTATTCTTTTATTTACTTTCTGTTGTATTTTGGATAAACATTAAAACTAAAATCCACCAAACCTGATTATCATTTTATAAATTTAGCATGCTCTTCAAACACCTGATTAGAGTATTTGTTATAGTCAGCAAAGCTGAGGTTTCAACTAAATGAAAATGATAGAAATATTCATCTAAGATATTTTAACATACCAATGAAGTTTTTTTTGCAATTAAAATCCATTGATCATTAGTACTTTATAAAATACTAAAAATTTCTCAATGCTTAATTTAAAATTAAGACTTTAGATACATATTCTTGTTATTAGCACATTGTGTATATATTTTATCTTTTCTTCAATTGAGATTGGAAAAACACAATGTCATAAATATCTGTCATCTCTATTGGCTTTTTAACTAGCTTAAAATGAAAATATAAATCATGATTCTCTTTTCTAGAATTCTCAGATTGTTTGATTCAGCTTCATTGATTTCTAATCTAGCTAAACAACACTCCTTTTATTTTTCCCTTTGTGTTGCTAATGATGAGGTAGGCTTCTAGGAAATAAGAAAATACCTCAAGCCCTCCATCCCACAGTAAAAAAAATTTGGTAAAGGTTATTTATGTAACTCATACCCACTTTCATGCCAAGGACAACTAAAAAAAATAAAGCAAATTTTTTTAAAAAATCACTTAGAAATCGCCAAAGAGCTACTAGGGTCCAAAGGAGTTATCAGGCATGAAGATAGGAACCTAGAGAAGTGGGGTCAACACTCGGAGTCGTTTTTGTCATTTTTGTCCCACCCAAGAAAGACAGCTGAGAGGCTGGCGGCATAAACAAGCAACAAAAGTGCCATCCACAAAAGGAAAAAATGGGTCAACTACACTACAGTAAAATTGAGTTCATTAAAACAAAAAGTAAAAAGACAAGCGACAAAGATATTAGAAAGACAAATAGCAAGCAAAGAATTAGATTTCAGAATATATAAGAACTCCAAGAATTCAATAAGGAAAAGACAAACAATTCAATAAAAAATCTTTCTCAGTGATAAGCAGGCATTTCACGGTAGCATCGGCGCAGACGGCAAATAAACATAGTAAGATGTCACCAGAGGAAAGACGATTAGAACAAGATACCATTTTACCCCATATTAGCAAAATTAAGAAGTCTGATAACACTGAGTGTTGAGAATATCAAGCAATGGGAGCTCATACACAACTGGTTGGAATTTATAATAAACTCGTTCAAACACTTCAGAAAAAAAACTGGTATGACATACCAGTTTTCAATGTTTATATACACTGCAACCCAATAATTCCACTTGTGGATATATACCCTAGAAAACCTCTGGTGTGTGTGTGTACCCAGAGACATGAATAAAAGCGTTCATAGCAGCACTGGTAGAATCGTGAAAAAATGAAATAGAAACAACTGAATTGATCATAGACAAGGCAATGGTTATATATATTGTGGTAAATTCACACAAACATATAATTGTGAAAGTAAATGCACATGCATGAATTATAATAATCTAGCAAGTTGCAGAAAATTATATATTATGACACAACTTTTCTAAAGCTCAAAAAACCTAAATAATAAGTTATTTAGGAATATATTTATATATAGTAAAACATATGGATTAATTGTCATGTTGAAATGAATGGAAACAGCAAGTTCTAGAAAACTAGAGTATAATACCATTTTTATAAAGCTCAAAATAAGGCCGAATATGTATTGTTTGGAGATACAAAAAATATGTAGTTTTACATGTAAAATTACATATAAAAACCAACAGCAAATTGACATGGTAAACACAAAGTTCAAGATGGTTTGTCCTGGCATGGAACAGGAAGCTGGGATGGCGGAGGGACACAACATAGGAAACATCGATAGAAGTGGTGATGTTTGATTCATTCTCTAGGTGATGTGTTCACTGGTGTTTGTCTTACTGTGTTTTTTTTAACTTATAAGTATGTTGCATACATGCTTTCGTAGTAACAAATATTACATAATAAAATTTTAATTAAACCACAAAAACTTGTAATATTATTTCTGTTGAGATGGCTATTTTTCCATCTCCTTCCCTGAGTGCTCTTTTTTGCACTCTTGAACTTGACTGTGGGTCACAGACCTGATAGAAGGAGGAAGCATGCTGTCAGATGAAATATACAAATGCCGTCTGAGCTCAGCTCAGAACTAATGGTCTTCCTGGACTACATGTGGCAAAATTACTACACAACGACAGAGGCAATTCCCCATTACTCTTCATTACTCATATTTCAATTTGGTGGCTCATTTTCCAGCACAAGTCCTATCTTTAGGATACCCTGCTCATGAGTGAACGTGGGCTTTAAGAGTTTCTTGGCTGTCAAGTGCCTCCCCCTTCCACCTCCTAAAACTGAAAGTCCCATTCACATATTTTAAAAGAAGAGTATAAAAGATCCTTTTAAAACTATACATAGTTTAAATGTACAATAAAGGCTTTGTTACCAAACATGTTGGAGAAATGGGGAGTGACAGTTGTAATACATTTGAGTCAAATAATGTTAATTCAGATTGGTTTCTCCCTATTATCACTTTTAGGACAAGTGAGGCAGAAATCTAACTAAATCTAATCTATTAATGGATGAACATATTCCCATCACTTCCAATTTCCAAACCAAAGTCCTTCCCCACCACCTACCTTTTGCTGCTGGCAGGGACATGAGGAGGTTGGGGGAATGAGGGTGTATGTGGGGGCGGGAGGGGGCTGTTGATCTGACATAATATATAAAAGAAGAAGATAGAGCTTGTGTCCTAAGGCTTTTGACAGCCCTGAGTCCAAATCCCCAGCTCTGGTGCTTTTTTGTTGGGTGAGTTGACAAGGTATTAAACTTCCCAGAGTCTCAGCTTCCTCATCTGTGTAAGTGGTTAATAATACTTACACCCTAGGGTTGTGGCAAGAACTGTATTACATTTATAAACCAGAAATGCTCAGTATGTACTCAGATATGGTGCTTCATTTGTACTGGGTGAGCATGTTGAAATTATAGAGGTTCTTTGTAGGTTTTTGAAAGAAACAGATTAATTTACTTGCTCATCCTTGAATGCAGATTTCTTGACATTCCTTTTCACTGTTGAATCTATTTCCTGAGCCGTTACAGCCACTGAACCAAAAGCGGGCACAAGAGTTGACCTGTTTGTCATAATACCATCGAACCACATATTCACCACAGTTTCCAGGTTTCAAAGCTTCCAAACATCTAGGATCTAGAGTGAGAAAAGGATAATGTGCTGTTAAAGGTTTTTCTTACACCAAAGAGATGAAAAATAAAAACTTTATGAGACTATATAAACTATTTATTCTCCATGCCTTCTAACAGCCCAACTAAGAAAATATGGTTATAAGTAAGTGAAAAAGGGTTCCCTAACACCCAAACTATTTCCCCCACTACCTGAAACTCTACCACTAGATATTCATTCCTTTGAAAACATAAAAGTTTTGATCTTCATGAAACCCCATCAAAAATGCATATTTCCCCAAAAGCCTAAGTGAGACTTCATTGACTAATGCTTTTTGGGAAGTAGTTGACAGGAGAAAAATAGGACTCCTTTCATTTACTTTGGATTTGATTTACAATCAAACTAATATTTGGAGTAAAAATGATTTCCACCTTCCGTACACATTCCCTCCCAGTCTGTTCACAGGACACACCTCTATGATCACATGGAATTGTGCCTACTAAAAAAGGAAAACTCTTTTTAAGTTACAAAGAAATAAAATGAGTGGCTCTCTTTATATCATAATTCTCTTAAAAAGAGCAGCTCTTGCAGGACACTAAACATGATGTGACCTTCTAATGTCAGTCTAGAAACAAATTTCAGAACCTCATCCACTGAAAGAAAGCAAAGGAGGACTGTAACAATAAAGCCACATTGCACTAAATCAGCTTCCTTCAATTACAGGGCTTCCCATTTGTTAAATCCCCTTTTACCGTCTGGTACTCTGTAGTGCCTTATTAGTATTTCCTACCAGAGGAAGTGATTCCAACGTAGGAGAAGACAGGAGTAATTGCAAAAACCAAATAGGTTATCGTTATCTGGGACTTGCAGTCTCTGAAGTGGTTTATATGTCATAAGCTTCATAACTCAATAGCAAAACCAGCCCTTCTCCATTTCCTTTCAACATTTCCCCGGATTTGGAGTATATCTCCATTCATTTTCTAAAACTTACCTCTAAATCTATCTCTTCTATGAAGACTCCTTAGACAAATGGAAAGAAGTAGATTTCCACTACCTCTCCTCATAAAAACATAACTAAATAACGTATATTGTGTAATTTGTTTTTGAGCCAAGCTAAGCTTCTTTGGGGCATGGATGTTGTCTCTCTTGCATGTTCTGAAGAAAATATGTATATAATGATGAATTTTCAATGATATTAACTCTATAGAAAATATATTGATGAGTCAGAATCTAGATTTTAGCTCTTTTTCCTATATAATCAAGAGGTCAAAAATTCAGATGCCTACACGTGTGAAGGGCAAAGGTGAGACAACAGGGAGCAGTAGGAACCATGGCAAACAGGAGAACATAATCCTCTCTAAAGGCACTCGAAACAATAATAAATGTTTTAAAACTTTTCATAGATCAAATTTATTCCACAGCTAGCCAGATTTCAAATTCTATATATAATCTCTAGTGAAAAATATCTTTTGTCCTCCCTGTTTAGAGTCATAATATTTCTCCCTGGATGAGGTTTTAGAGACCATCCTTCCTGTCCTTTCCTCACATTGTAGATACAGCCGCTGATTGGCAGGTATCTCTTACCTTTGTACAACAAATTTTCTGGCTTTGAAATAGCAGCAGGAGTTGAAGTTCTGGATTCCATACCCTCTGCCCTACCCTCAGGGGTGCTCAGCACTGGCCCGTAGGTGGTGGCAGCCTCGGATGGGAGAGTAGCAAACAGGCCATCAATCCAGGTAGGCTCTGGAGGCTCATTCTCTTCATCCTGCTCTCCAGGGACACTGGGCTACACAAAACATTCACATTTTTCATTTCTGATAATATCAAGTCAAAAAAGCTAGTTTAAGGAAAAGTTCAGCAATGCTATGTCTCCCCTACTCTCCGATATTAACGAGTTCAAATAGAAGTTCCAGAAGTAATGCCCCTCCTCCATCATGCATCCCTGAATACCTAGGTGTAGAATTTCCCACCACTGTGTGGGTACACACACACATATACACTGTCTATCTTCAGGAACAGATATTTTTGTGCTGGGCCTTCCAGAGAAGGTGTGAAACATGTGAGGTTGGAGTTTATTCTTTTCTTAGTCAATTGCTATGAAGAGGGAAAATAACCACTAATTTCTTTAACATGTTTATGGCCTTTTTCTCGTCATTTTCTAACACTAGAGAATTTAACAATATATTCCAAAATACCTACTATGAACTCAATCAATCTTGAGACTGGGAATTGGGGTGGCAGAGGACAAGAACATGGCTAAATAAAAACAATAGCACTTTTCATCTCCTTTGATTGTTTACCCAAATATCAGTGGAAAGCACCTTTTGCCTGACCTCCCTACTATCCAGACCCCAGCTAATGCCAAATGCTGTAGAGTGCTTAACTTCTAAGAAGTTCTGAGCAACGTTTGATAGCTAAGGAACAAAGGCTTATGATTTCAAAAGCAAATTTTCTGGACTAAATCTCCCAAGTTTCATCTAAATTTATGATATGTAATGAAACAAGGAAGAAAGGCAGTTTGTTTTAAAATAAAAAGATTGTGTCAGTTATTCTTGACTATAATTGCCAGGAGCTAGGCAAATCTTTCACGGGAATCATTATGTTCTTTTTTCTTTTCTTTTCCCTTGTATCCCAGCTACACAAAGTCAAGTCAATCATTCACCTCAGTCCTGGCACAGTACGGTTATTTATCCTTACAAGTCCCTCTCTTGTTTGTTTGCTTTTTATTTACTTATTTAAATCGGCAAATCTGTGAATTAGATAAAGTAGTTTTGATGCTTTTTTATCCTGGGTTCCTAGCCCACTGTGACCAGAGCCAGCAATCATCATGAGCTGCCCCCTGCCGCCTCAGCTGTTTGACTGCTTTGGATTCTTCTCTCTCTCTCTCTCTCTCTCTCTCTCACCCACTCACACCCCACCCCCCCCACCCAAGAGGAAAGGGCTAATTAATGCTATTACTCATGTGTGTGTATTTTTGCAGTGTTTAAAGTACTACCAGGTGATTCAAATCAAATAGTTCCATTAGAATTGGTCATCAGCCCTATAAAGGGCACTCAATTCAAATACAGCAGTAACTTTTCACTCTCCCCAAACACAAATTTCCATCAAAAGGGAGGTAAAACTATGGATCACTTGAAGTTCCTCTTTCTTTCAGAATGATCCTATATGGACATATGGCAATTTGAATGTGAACTTTTGTTATAATCATAGAACTAGAGAATTTCAAGACTAGAGGAAAACTTTCTCAGTCCCTATTGGGGGGAATACAAAACTCCCAAATGATTAAGGAACTTTCCAAAAGTTACTGGTAAGCTAGTAGCAAAATCTATGAAAAATCCTCAGGAAAAAAATACTGTTGTTTTTTGCTTGCACGTATTTCATTTCAAACAAGAAATAAGTTAAAGGAAGAGTTTGAGGAGTAGTTTGTGCCAACATGAAAGCCAACTGCCATTAGTCTACACTTCAGATAGACTGTCTATAAGGTGAGAATGCTCCTTTGAAGAAGTGGGCGGGCAGCAGGGTTTTCTTAAAGGAATTAACTCAGCCTTTAAATCTTTATCTTGTTCAAGTCCTGAGGTCTCGTAAATTATTCTTTACCTCTTGTAAGTTTAGGAATGTGCGTTTTCATTCTCAATCGCACAATCATTTGGAAATTTTGACTACTGTAACATTACACCACAGGTTCCAGAACAAGCAAAATTAATTTTTTGATAAATGAAAATAATTTCATCAATCTGGCTCAATGAGATTTCAGATTAAACAAATGTATAATTATTATGACTTGCAATTTTTATTCGGTCATTAAATATGAGGTGTCTGATTTCAAACCAAAAGTTTAGTTTATTATATCTCAAACAAGAAGCAGTACAATTAAAGTATGTGCTTCAACTACTAACACAATTTTGCCATCTTTTCTTTTTTCTTTTTCTTTTTAATTCATTAAGATGAAACATGCCTCAGACAATTTTGCCATCTTAACAGTAGCTTGTTTATAGCAGCAGCAAAGAAGCCTGGAGCAAGTGGTGATGAAATCATGAAAGGTGTTTTCCACAGCTTGTTGAGAACTGAATATTTTTCCTTGCAAGAAGTGGTAGTCGGTGCAAGGTCTGGTGAATACTATGGTGGATGACAGAGTTTCCAAGTCCAGCGTCTGTAGTTTGAGCAACATTGTTTGTACAACATGTGGTCAAGCATTGTTTTGGAAGAGGATTGGCCTGTCTCTATTGACCAATCTCAGCTGCTTTATCACAAGCATCCTCATTGTTTCATCCAATTGGTCGCAGTAGACATCCGCTGTAATGGACTGACCAGGTTTCATGAAGCTGTAGTGGATAATACTGGCATCAGACCACCAAACAGACACCATTAGCTTTTTGTGATGAATATTTGGTTTTGGACTGTGTTTCAGCCCTTCATCTTTATCCAACCATTGTGCCAGATGCTTGCAATTGTCAAAAAGAATCCATTTTTCATCACACATAACAATACATCGTAGAAATGGTTCACCTCTATGTTGTGACAGCAAAGAAAGGAAAGCTTCGAGACAATTTCTCTGCTGATGCTTGTTTAATTCATGCGGAACCCATCTATCCAGCTTCTTTACCTTGCCCATTTGTTTCAAATGGTCCAATATTGTTGGAATAGTAACATCAACACTTGCTCCTAATTCACACATAGGTTGAGATGGATTTACTTCCACTACGGTTTTCAGCTTATCATTACCCACCTTGGTCTCAGGTCACCCACGTGGCTCATTTTCAAGATGAAAATCACCAGAATGGAACTTCTCAAACCATTGATGTACTGTGAATTCATTAGTCACATCCTTCCCAAATACATCGTTGATATTTCAAGCTGTCTGTGCAGCATTGGTTCCACAATAGAACTCATATTCGAAAATAGCATGAAGTTTTTGACTTATCCATGGTTTCACAAAAATTGCTCTTAAAAAAAATTTGAAAGATAATCACAAGACAAACTATGCATTTGAAAGTATGAGGATGTACCTTCACTATAAAAATAAAACAAGTGTCAAAGTGAAATGTCAGAGATAATCAATGTCAAACTTGGTACTTAAGGAAATCAGACATTTCATATTTAATAACCTAATATAGTTTTCTTCCTTATTACAAAAGCAAACGTGTTGATTGAAGGGAATTTTAGAAAATACAGATATCAAAAAGAAGAAAATAGAAATCAAAAGTAATTCCACCTCCCAGAGATAATTATTCTTGATATTTAGGTGTTTTTCCCCCCATCTTTTTTCTTTATGCATATACTTTTTTTTTTTAACACAGAAAATACTATGCTTGGTTTTCTATGCCGTATGCTGGTTTTTTTTTTTTATTTACTATATTATGATCATTTCGTATATTTTTACTGTGACTCTATAACACTATTTTAAATATACAATATACCTAATATGATGGTGTTTTTGAATACTTATTTCCTTTTTTTCCCTGTTATAAACCTCATGGCTAATTGCTGGGTCAAAGAACAAATATATTTAAGGCTTTTGAGAGAAAGTCCCCTCCAAAAAATTTTTATAGGTTTGCATACTCTCTAGGAGTGTCTTTTCCTAAACGATCCTATTTACTAGATATTATGATTGGAGAAAGAGATAAGCAGCAGTTTGATGGTGAAACACTCTTCAGTTGATCCACACAGCCCTGCCACAGTCTGTTGCCTCCCCACATTTATAACCTTGCCTTCCGATACTCCCAGAATATCTGGCTACAACCTTTCATTCCTTCTTCCTCTTCATTCTGCCTCAGGCTCTCAATATTGACCCTCCCACCCCAGCTCAGGAAAAGTTGGTCTCCAACTGCAAAACCTGCTCCAGTAACCCAGTCAGTACCTTCTGACTCTTCTGCTCTTGGCCCTGATTGTATAGAATGTAACTCATAGTCCTATCCTATTGAACAGTAGCAGAATAGGCCACCCCAAAATATGCCACATTGGCATACAGATCATTTTGAGCTGAAGACAATAAAGAAGCTGATACAAGTTCTCTGCCCTCCCCCATTTTCCTAAGAGCAAGACACAAATTTGGAAAGTTGTCCCCCCTCCCCTCCCTGCCAGAACAGACCGAGTTAATTACTGGAGACAACTCTATACCCTTAGCCCACTCTACGTAACAAACCACTAACTCACTCTCATCTTCTATTAATTACCCCCTATACTTACCTTCCCATGATTTGCTACCTTAGAAGCTCAAAGTTCATTTCCTTTATCTTGTCACTCCTAAAATTTATTGTTCTTTTGTTAAGATGATATATAAGCTCCAAGTTCTAGTCACCCTTTTGAGTAACTCATCACTGAGTAATCCTCTATGTTTGCACACTGCACGGTTAAAAACTTCTGTTAGTTTTTCTCTTGATAATCTGTCTTTTGTCAGTTTAATTTATAGGGCCCCAGCCAATCAACTTAAGGTAGGTAGAGGGAAAAGAAAGATTTTCTTTCCCTCCACTATTTTGTATCATTTCCTATTTCACATGCATAAATATCGCTCCCTTGATAAGAGAAATTAAACCCATGCCACATCTTTCTGTCCTTCTTTCTCTTCCTCGTCATCTATCTCTATAGCATAGAAAGGGCCAACACTAGCCATTAAATAAATTAATGGATGAGAGTCTCTCCATTATACTCATCAGGCTGAACTTAATAAGGATTTGCAGAGAAAGAGAGAGACAATTTTGGATTATTCAATTCCTCTAGGCTTTAACGTTATCATTTTTAAAATAAAAAGGATTAGGCCCCTAACATACCTTCCAACTATAAAAGTGG